CTCTCTCTCACTCACTCACTCTCTAATTAGGGCCGATCCAGTTGTTGGGGGGACTGCTTGGCCGCTGCTGGTCTTTGTCTTTGCTCTCTAAAGAGACAATCAGTTTGAACGCCTTCAGCCATCTGTTAACATCAGTGCGCCTTTCTGCGCAATAATTCATTCACTTCTGAGAGACTTTATTATTTTACCTCTCAGTTAATCGCATGATTTTATAGAGCATACACAATCATTTTATTATCCTCTACGGGAAAATAACAAAACTGAAATACAACAGTTGAGTAAAAATAATAAGATTTGGTCTAATCTGACCAACTCTCCTCCAAAAGTGCAAAAAAAACCAACAACTTTATGTCACTGACCTTGTTATAAGAACAGTTAATCTTTATGACCAGATCATTTCAAAAGTAGGCCAACGGAAAAAAAGAGAAAAAAGAAAAAAGAAGGGGGGGGGGTATAGTAACGTTTGTGCTTCTGTGCTCGAGCTTCATCTAGTGGCGGGACGATGCAACGCACAATCCCCCCTCTTCACATCTGGAGGACAAAATAGTGTGCTGCAGGCTTTTCACGGCCCAAAGACACCGACAGCAGGGAGGAGGCTGTAACTCAACAGCCGCTAATATTGTAGACGAGTCCAAACTGGAACCAGCTTTCACCAATGATTAATCCACTAAAGGGCGGGTAGCTTCACTACATTTTTAACCTGCAGGGGTCTTTTGTGCAAAAGTAATTTGGCACCGTTTCAAGGTCTTGCTGGTGGCGACATCTTGTGGAGGTGAGACTCTGTGGACCATAACCAGGCAGGCCGAGCTGCAGCTTCTCTCGAGGTTGAGCGTATATAAAGGCCCCTCTGGCAGCATCGGATCAAAGGGTTTTTGATGGGTATGTCGTGGAGTAAATTACACTCATGTGGAGAATGTGGCCAGATGTTGTCTCAGCTGCACGAAAAAGCTGCTACCTCTTGGAAATTTGGACCCTTATCAATCCTTCACCACAACTTTGAAAATGCGCGCACATTCACCAAACATTAAGGAGTGAATGCGGAATATGATATGATGCGTTTTAGAAATGGCAAAGAGGCAGTGGTGCAGTGTGATTATCCCTCAAAAAGCATTCCCTCGCCTTCTTTTTTCGTTAAAGAACAACACCAAATTCAGATATTATCCTGTACACAGCTTTGACATTAGTCCGAGTCGTTAAATGATGAGCCAGGAAAACCAGACGGAGTTTCCTCACGGGAGTACCGGATGGTCAGATTGGGTCATGTGTCCCAGAGAGACAAAGCAAAGTCAAAATGAATGGAGGCTTTGTGCCTGAAAGAAGTGGCCTCTTATTGGCGCAGTGCAGCCAGGATCTTTCATACACTGTAGGCCTATAATGGACAGAGGTGATGCAAATTGTGTACCGTCAGAAAACACAATGTACATGATCACAGCTTTTATATGATCTTAAACAACAGTCGACCTATAAATATGAACATTTAAGGCATTTAAAAATTATAAACCTCGGTCAACTTGGGGTCACAGCCTGGTTCATCCTACTGTCTTCTGTCCATAGCAGCCAAATGTCTCACTTAAATAATAATTTACAGTGTCTTTAAATTAAAACTGTCAAAGCAAGCTCACTCCTACAGGCTCGCTGTCGGATTTAAGGCCTAACTCGCCCTTTGAAGTCCTAATAAGTCTTATAATAAAGCAAGAGGAAGATTATGCGTGTAAGTTTTAGTTAATTCTCACTAGACGTGGTCATTTTAACTGATACTTACAAAAAAAAGATTGAGATACAAATAATAGAAAATGAACTGCAGGTCTTCCAACCTGACATCAGAAGCCGAGGTCACAGAAACCAAGACAAGATGTGCGGATGTATAGTTTAATAATCTCATGTGAGAATAAAGCTGCTTATACGAAACTACAGCAGAAACATTGCCTTATTTTTATATTAATCCAAATGAGAACATTTTAATCTATTGTATTTATTTAAATGTGTTAGAATCTGCTCGTCACATCGTTGTTAGAAGGATTCATACAATCTTTAACTTTCCCAGCAGGAATTATCAACCAATTTCAGACCGCGACCCCTGGAAAATCAACAGCCTTTATAAAAATGCTAAATTTAACAATCTATTGGCTTTTTTTGTTTTTGTTTAAAGACTTCAATGCTTTGTGAAACACAGGGATAATTTTTTTAAATCTCCTTTGAAGTTGGTGTTTAATTTTCCTGTAGTCAAATATCTGTGATTGATTTTTTCGATTATTTGACATGAACCTGCTGCCTACAAGCATTCTTAATAATTAGTTAATTAGTTTGGAAAATTAAGGGAAAAAAGGATAGATATCTCTATATATTATAAACTTCAATTCAGGACTTTATTAGACTCACTTTTTGGCAAAAAGGGTGAAAGAAATGACTGGAAATTTCTACCTTTATAATGTGTCACAACCAACAGCTGGATACATTTTAGAAAGTTCCCATTGTGGGATTATTCCACAAAGGCATGTTTATGATGACATGGTCGAACAGTTTCTAACTAAATGATTAAATGGATAATCTTAACAAGAGAAGCAGTGATATGGAAGAGAAAACCCGCAACAAAAACACCCCTTAAACTCACAATGTCACGTTCATGTTTTTTTAATTTTCTCAGCAGCGTATTAAATATTTGTATGTACACGTTTTGAAAGTTACATAGAAAAAATATAGTATTACAGTAGGCATGTTAGTTGGTAGCTTGTTAAACAATTATTCAAGCATATATGAGCCTCCTCTGACCTGCATCCACAGCACACATTCATCTCTTCTCTCTGAAAAAGCCTTTGTCCGTGCTGCTCTCTCTGATGGTGACTGTCAAGAAGTTCATGGTGACATCAGTCACTGTCACAGAGTCCACGTTGGTCAAACAGGGGGTCCAGGACGAGGCTGGTGGCGTGGACGAATCGTGGATGGACTCGGCCTGTGTGGGGACAGCCGGTTGTTCCCGTGGCAGACAGCACTCCTTCACCTGGTGTCTCCGGTGTTCTGCGGAGTGCTTCGCCTTCCTGGGCTGAGGGATAGACATCACACAACTAGTCCTGTGCAGCCCCTCATCACTTTTGCGCACATCCGGATTGAATGGGCAGCTGTAGGACAACCCTGCGCCCCCCACGTGTCTCTGGTCGCTGCAGGATCTAGGTGTTATCGTGGTCTTCTCCTGAAACCTCTTGGTCAGCTGGATGAGGCTGTGATCTGACGTCTCTCCGTGATGATGCGAGCGTCGGGGAGTTTTGGACAAACCGTGTGGCACCGGCTCCTCCGGTAACCTGCTCCGTTTGGCGTCCGGCTCTGCTGAGCTGCCTCCATCATCTTTATCATAATGGAAATGCATCTTAGGCTTGCGGCCTCTCTTTTTGGGGAACCGGGCGGATTCTTGGACTGTCAGAGGAGCTGGTGGAGTCGGTCTTGGCCTCCTCTCTGGTTCCGGTGGTCGGACGTGGACACTTTCCCCTCTGTTGACCGCACTCGGTGGGAAGATTGTGGGAACTACGGTGCGTAAACCCTCCCGAGCCCTCGGTGTTATGACAGGCTCCGGGATGGGATAGGAAACCTGGATCCCCCTGGGAGCCTCTACTCTATATTCATACATCTTTTCTTTGGCTTTGGCCTGAGGACAGAGCAAATAATGTTTATGAGAAGAGGTTTTTTTTTGGACATTTGAAGACCATCTCTGTGGAAATGTAAAGGTTTAGGAGAAGCAGCTGGAGATCTGTTGGCTACATGGAAGGCCTTGTCCTAAAGCTGCTTTGATTTTTTAAGGAATGCATGTCAGATAGGCTACATAAAACATGAAATAAACTAAGGATGCTTAACCCAATTTAACCTCATAGAAATCTCACTGTAAATGACTGATTTAATCTGGGTTGCAGTTGTTATTTTAGTTTGTGTGAAAGTCTGAATAACAGCACAGCAGTTTCCAAATTAATTATACCGCATATA